AATTTAAAATCTTAAAATCGATTATCCAAAAAAATATCAAGGTTTAAAATTAGCTGAGATCTTTTAAAAAAGTTTTTAACTTGGATTTAAAAATAGATAAAATATTACACTCTTTTAAATCATTTGGAAGGCTGTTCCAGTCTTTCGCGGCGTGAAAAATAAAAGCTTGTTTACCCCAGTTTTTTCTGGGTAGGGGTAAGCGAATATCATTAGAGCGTCTTGTATTATATGAATGAACAGCTTGAGTTTTAGTAAAATTAAAGTTGAAATCGGTTTCTCCAATAAGACACTTGTGGATTGCAATGCAGCGATGAAAAAACCTTCTTGTGGACAGTGACTTCAGATCTAGACTCTTCAGTGCTTCAGTTGACGAGCTTCGGGGTGGTTGCCCCAGCATAACTTTAGCAGCTTTATTCTGTAGAATCTGTAATTCTGACATGATGGTGTCATTGTTCTTGTCCTCCCATATAACGTCTCCGTAATCAAAAAGAGGGAGGATTAGGGCATTGTACAAGGCTACTCTAGCTTATAGCGGCAATAGATTCCTGATTCTCCTAATGAGGCCTATTCTCTGATTAATCTTCATGCTGATAGCATCGACATGATCTGCCCAGGACATAGACTGTTGAAGCGTTACGCCTAGGTAACAAATAAACTGAAAATAGGCTTTAAAAGTGTTTTAAATTTGGTTCCTTGATTAATTTTCAATGTCATCATCCTTGAATCGTCACTGATCAGTTTTCTTGGATAAAAAAGAAGATGCCGAGAGAGGTAAGGTGCGGGCGATTATTCGAGAGAGGCGATTATTTGAAATATTTCCGTCAAAGGGGAGCGATTATTGGAAAGCGACGATTAATGGAAAGACGGGTACTCTTTTAAAACACTGTCTTTGAAAAACCTCAGGCCTTAAAGTTCTTTCGTCAGGGAGTCATAAATATAAATGGGATTCATTAACCAATTTTGGATGCTAAATGAACCTTCACATGAACAAAACGGTTTGTGTTTTCTTGCCCTAAAGAATAGCAACATGTACTGTTTCCATTACGAGCCCTTGCTGGCTTGACAACTGTAGCCCTGCGACAGGTTTGAAAGCACGTCCACGAATGGCTTTTTCCGTTTGACTGTAATATCTGATGTGTCAAGTCCGAAGGCTTCACAGGTGTTCTGTGACAATTACACTGAAAGGGAGCTAAGATTGGAAATAAAAGACTAGCTCACAAATGTTGTAGGAGTTATAGATTATCGGATGTGAAAGCTGGATGCTCACTTCACACAAAACCTTGTCCCTAAGCACATTTTGAAGGTCTTCAGCTGCAGTTTCATCCTCACTAGCTGGTCTACCTCAACACTTCGATTAGCAGCAAGGCGAGAGAAGTAACTACTAATTTGCTGGCTCGTGAGAAAATCGCCATAACCGAATAGCCTTTCCCCGTGTACTTACTATCTTTTGCAGTTCTCATGGCTTTACAGACGTCACTCGGCTCGGCCTTCTTTCCCGGTTCTGTCTCCAATTTGAAACTTGACATTTAGGCACTGCTTTTGCTTGTCAGTAAATTTCGTGCGACGTGACGGTGGCGATTTCAGTGCCCATCCCATCCTGAGAGTAACTGGGGGTTGGTATTGAAGATCCACTTCCTTCTACCACCACTGGAATTTTGCTCGCGCCATAGTCCAGTTTAGTCGCGTATTCTATTATGGCCTTATCATAGAGTTGTTTCGTGCTAAAGTTTACGCTTATGTTTTTCACAGTCTAAGTGTTTAACAAGCGATGGATGCCTCATAAAAGACTTAATGCATCCCTCTTCCGGGCACGTAAATAATCGAGAATTGGTAGCAGAAGACAGGGTATCGCTTGACTCATCTTCACTTTCGGAACTGTCTTCTTTCTCTGTCACAAGAGAATGGCCACCTGTTCGTCTCGGTCTTACTGGAACAAAGCTCGCACTGGCCACGCTCATCTAAGGACTAGCCTCTATTGTCGGAAGTTCGCATTCTTCAGGAATACTGAACTTTGTCCATGGAACACTTTTCCCAGGGCCAATGTCGTAGGCTCTCCATGTTCTTATCCTACCATGGCTGTAGTGGAGGTTACTGACATAGCTCATCTTCTCCCACTTCGTGCTCTTGTTGGATGTAGCGTCAGGAAGACTGCAAACCTTCACGCTCACGCCGCGAACACCCCCACAAGACTCGATGGTTTCCTTCATCTGTGCATCCGTCTCAATGTCGTGTCCGGAATTCAGATGTACTACTATGTGCGACTTATATTAATCGTAGCTGCCTTGCGATCGCACGCACCTTTCCTTGCCTGTGACTCAGAAAAATCAACCCGGGAGATCTGAAGGCCACGACGTTTGGCAATCTGAGGGGCTGTAATCAGCACTTAATAGAGTTACGCCGCCAAGCAATCCCGAGTTCGCGCCTGTGGTATGGACAAATGGTGTCCAATTTCTCTTTCTCCCTGAAAACACCCACTCGAGCAAGTATTAGTTCCCTCTCTGTGTTTACTCCAGAAAATGACCAGTATTAAAGAGCAATGATCCGTAATATTCTTTGAGCAGTTGCATACACTAATTATTTCAAGACTCCTGCTTTTATCTAACCTATCATACGAGCAGACTGTTTCGGTTCTACTTTGAAAAGAGCACGAAAACTGCGAAAACGCCATTGCAGTGCTTCACAGATCGAGAACACTACTTAGCTTTACAAAGCGCGTTAAGAAAGTTTCGTGGGAAAATTTCATAACTCTTAACTGGGACTCGTTTATAATTGGCTATCAGTATAGCAACACGACCAAATAGTTAATTCCGAGAGTCAGCAAAATAATTATTTTCTAGTCTAATAACAAAAACTAGAGACTTTAAATTTTGAAGTCTCTGTTTTGCCAGCCTTCTATAATTTTTGATCATTGGCATTCGGTTTTTTTTTTTAACTCGTAAGGAAACCCGTAATCATTGAAGTAAAGACACTGCGTATGGGGCGTCTGGAAAGGCCGGAAACCGGAATCGGGAATAGGAACGGGAATGGGAACAGGAACCGGAACCGGAACCGGAAACAGCAACGGAACAGGAACAGCAATGTGAAGGGGAACCAATACAAGAACAGGGATATCATTTACTTTAAATTATTTTAATTCGAATTCAATTTATACAAAAAATAAGAACACTACTCTGGTATCATGCTCCCCCCCGAATCTCTTTATAATACGGCAGCGAGAAGGTAGAAAAAGCCGCAAGTTAAATAAGTAAAGCAACAGCTTTGCGAGTGCATCGTATCGCGCTTTCTGTCAATTTCTTCACCGCGTATGCACAACTACGATGTAAATGATTAAATCTTAAGTTCTCTTGAGAACGTGAACGGCAGGCAATAAATTTTATTGTGTCTTTCTGAGCTCGGACGCGGTCTCCAGCCTCATTTCCCAACCTTTAAAAGACTGGGCAATTTGGAATTAATGAGAGATAGTTTGAATTAAGAACCGAATTCAATTTCTCAGTGGCGTTTTCGCTGGCGTTGCCGTCGTCAGATCTTAAGGTTCCTTTTGTCTCTCACAGAAAGGTGGTTATCACATGTTAATATTATTTGTCAGACCATGTGTATACGAGAAACCCATCGGAGACGTTTATTGGGCTGCCATACACCTCAGGTTTGCTCCATAGATATATTGTACGGTGCTAAATTGGGAAGTTAACCAGAGATAGATAGTCCACAGCTTAAAAAGGCTATTAACACGTACCTCCTCCCCCTTCCCCCCCAACCCATCCCAGCCAGTACTTCATCTACCTCAACCGCGTGCAATAGGGACCTTAATAAGTAAGCAGAACGTTGACGTCCAGGACATTAAAAATGGAAACTGGAAGTGGATGTTTTCTGTCTTTAGGTGCTCTGACTCAACAAATTCGCACAGTGGAAGGTAAGAGGAAGAATTCAGATTCGTTGTGTGAGACAGAAGCGTTCCATCAAGCGACGGTCAGCGTTCTCGTTGCTTAAGTTCGCTATTATGTTTGGCACGAAAACACAATGTGTCATAGGCTAAAGATAAAGAAAGGTTAATTAGATTAACATTTCAAGGGTGTTTTCTTGTTTCTTTAATTATTTCTCTGGCTTTTTATTTATATCACAATTATATCTTTTTCTTTTCATATCTCTATACACTGTTTATATTTCCCTTCCTATTCCGGTTCCTATTCTATTTTTCCCTTATTTTTCGTATGTAATCTGAATAGGAATTAAATCCAGATTAACTTAAATTAAGGTAAATGTTGTCCCTGCTTTTATATAGGTTTCTCTTCCCATTCCAGTTCCTATTCCGGTTCCGGTTCCTGTTCCTGTTCCTATTCCCGTTCCTATTCCGGATTCCGGATTCCCGCTTTTCCAGACGCCCCTGCGTATGTGCACTACTGGCTATACGTGAAAATTGCCAAGGGAGCGAGGGAAAGCTTTGATGAAACAAATATGCTGTTAAACATTTTATTTATCAAACAAAATGATGAATAATAAAAATCAGGAACAATAACAAGGCCGTTAATGTATTTTCATCTGGTTCCAAATTATTTCGGGAAACATTCAGACCTAATATTTGTCACGGTGCGTCACGCAATCTCGCACAGAACTCACACAGAAAAAAACACTGACGAAAAGTGAAATTTACCAAACTTTACCTGATTCCTTAAAAATCCGTAAAGTTCAGAGGCAAACGATTATGCATGTTGACACTATCGTGTAAAGGTGCGTAAAGTTGATATAAAGGTTACGTGCGTAATGAGAGCACTTTACAAGTTCTTGAACGGTCTTAACGTATAACGTAAGGGATCGTAAAGATCCATCAATCGCTTTTTCCAGGGTTCTTTTTTTTTATCGTTAACTTGAAAAAACCAAAAACCTAATAATACAAGGAACGAAGACATAACATGTATTTCACTTGAATGGTAACACTACAAGATTTTGTTCACCTAGCGTTAGATGTAAGTATAGAATGTCACGTAATTTAACAACACACTGTGCCACACCATAGTCTGAAACAGGAAGGGTTTAAAAAAGACAAAAGTAAATAAGCAAATTCAGATTCTCGAAAAATCCTGTGTGACTCTTCTTTACTACACCCCTGACCCCTCTGCAATAGACTTGATAAATAGACATTGTTTCCTGGGCGTAGTGCGCATAAAGATGATCTCCTTTTCCCTCAATCATAGAATCTGTGAATTTTGAAAATTGTTGTAGTGTTGATTTTGGATGATAATTTTCGAGGCGATTGCCGAGTAATAGGAGGGCTTTGTCGTATAGAGTGCTTTTTTCTTGGCCTATTCTAAATTGCCACCAAATCTCCGGCCACTCAAAGTTTTCTAAATAAAAAGTTCAAAGAACAAAATAAACTGACGGGCGTCAGGGTAACACTAACGCATTTTTGTAAATCTCTTTCGCCGGCGGGGGAAAGGAAGTTTTCCCGATTGCTGTTTCGTTTTTCCCCTCGCGCCCGGTCGCTGCCATTATTTGCCCCCACCAAATGGAGAGCTACATAAGTGCCATTTCCCTGAGGGAGTAATGACAGATCGTGGTTTAGAGGCTGCTAAAAAAAGGTTAAATATTTTAAGATATAGTACTTTTATAGTACTAAATTACTTTTGTAACATCTCAGTGATGGGGCATGCCTTTCTGTTTTCCAAAGGCGGGAAAAATCAGAAGTGGAACTGATAAGAAGACAGAAGAAGAAGGATTTGTACCTGGAACAGAAGAAGATCTTTATGAAAACACTCAGAAGGAGACTGAAGCAGAGGAAACACCAGGTATATAAGAGAATCAAGAGTCATTATGGCTCTTGATGAGACCAGTTGCTTAAGACGATTAATTGTACCCAGAATCATTGAGCTCCATTGATGAGCCATTAGGTGCCATTTTAGGTGAGGTGAAAAAAGAGAGTATATCTTAAACAAAGAGACTAAGGCCAATGGCCCGATATGGCGGCTCCCTCATCGTTCAAGGCTGTAGAAGATATTTTGACTTTTCTTACAGTGATGGCCAAATTTTATGGTCAACAAAAAAGGAAACCAAAACAAAACCCAAAAGAAATTTAATTTGAATCTGTAATAACTGAAAAATAAGTAACCCCATGATATTAAGGCTAAGAGAAAAACAAGAGACGTGATTGAATACCCAAGGGGTTAAAAATTAAAAACTCTAAGCACCACATCAGGTGCATTATTACCTAGAGATCGGATACCCTTGATCTTAAATTCAAATAAATTTAGATTGAGAGGAACTTCCCCTTGAATGACGCAACTGTACAAGATGGATCTTAACCTCTCTTACAGTGTGGGTGATAGGGTGGTCGTCTCTTTTTGTTCTGTGGGACAGTAAACTGAAATGATCGGCCTCCTTCTATCCTTACTTCTTTAAGGACAATTAAGGGAGTTGGCACAGCAGTTGGAAAGTGTCCAACAGGAGCTAAGACAGAAAGACGGACAACTGATGGAAGTGACACAGCAGTTGACAAATGTTCCAGGGCAACTACAGGAGAGAGATGGACAATCGAGAGAGCTGACACAACAGCTGACAAATGTTCAATGGCAGCTAGAAGAAACAGATAAAGAATATACCTACTTGTTGGAACAACTGATGGGAAACGAAGAAGAAGTGAATGAATTGAAGATGTCTCTTTCAACAGCTCAGCAAGCGTTACGTAGACGTCCACGACAACAGTCACCAGGTATTAGAATCTAACCAAGGGACCAATTTGTTGAGGCGAATAATTGTACCCAGGATCATTGAGCTTCACTGAAGAGCCTTTAGGCGCCATTTGAGGTGATAAAAGAGAGAGATTTTAAACGGAAGAATTGGATGCTAATGACCCGATTTGGCGGCTCTCCTTATCGTTCAAGGGAGTAAAAAACTAAATAGATGATGTGTTTCGACTGTTTTCAGAGTAAAACGTAATAAGTACGAACAACAAAATTAAACCAAAACACCAATAAAAAGAAATGTCATTTGTATTTGTAAATGAAAGAAAAAAGGCTAGCCCATGAGTGTAACCAAGAGAACAACAATGGAAGAGACTGAATACCCCATATATGGAAGTAAAAAAAACATTCAAGAGGAAAAAAGACACCAGGTACATTATTATCTAAAGATCAAATACCTTGGGTCTAAAATTGAAGTAAATTAATATACACAGAGAGGAATTCTCCTCTAGAATGATGCAACTAGAAGATTCACTCTCTAAGTTTGATCCTGTCTAGATATTAAACTAAGCGTAGGACTAAGGAAAATTGTTTATTTTTAGTGTGAGACAAAAAGCCGAAAATGGCGTCCCCCTATCTTTATATCTTTAAGGACAATTAAGAGAGTTGAGACAGCAGTTGGAAAATGTCCAAGAGCAACTAAGACATAGAGACGGACAATTGAGGGAGGCGACAAAACAGCTGACAAATGTTCAAGGGCAACTACAGATAGAATTGAGGCAGATGACACAACAGTTGACAAATGTTCAAGGACAACTACAGGAGAGAGATGGGCAATTGAGGCAGATGACACAGCAACTGACAAATGTTCAAGGGCAACTACAGGAGAGAGATGGTCAATTGAGGCAGACGACACAACAGTTGACAAATGTTCAAGGGCAACTACAGGAGAGAGATGGGCAATTGAGGCAGATGACACAGCAACTGACAAATGTTCAAGGGCAACTACAGGAGAGAGATGGTCAATTGAGGCAGATGACACAGCAGTTGACAAATGTTCAAGGGCAACTACAGGAGAGAGATGGGCAATTGAGGCAGATGACACAGCAACTGACAAATGTTCAAGGGCAACTACAGGAGAGAGATGGTCAATTGAGGCAGATGACACAGCAGTTGACAAATGTTCAAGGGCAACTACAGGAGAGAGACGGACAATTGAGGCAGACGACACAACAGTTGACAAATGTTCAAGGGCAACTACAGGAGAGAGATGGGCAATTGAGGCAGATGACACAGCAGCTGACAAATGTTCAAGGGCAACTACAGGAGAGAGACGGACAATTGAGGCAGACGACACAACAGTTGACAAATGTTCAAGGGCAACCACATGAGAGAGATGGGCAATTAAGGCAGACGACACAACAGCTGACAAATGTTCAGGGGCAACTACAAACAGAATTGAGGCAGGTGACACAACAGTTGACAAATGTTCAAGGGCAACTACAGGAGAGAGATGGACAATTGAGGCAGATGACACAGCAGCTGACAAATTTTCAAGGACAACTACAGGAGAGAGATGGAGAATTAAGGCAGATGACACAACAGTTGACAAATGTTCAAGGGCAACTACAGGAAAGAGATGGACAATTGAGGGAGGCGACACAACAACTGACAAATGTTCAAGGGCAACTACAGGAGAAAGATGGACAATTGAGGCAGGTGACACAACAGTTGACAAATGTTCAAGGGCAACTGCAGGAGAGAGATGGAGAATTGAGGCAGATGACGCAACAGTGGACAAATGTTAAAGGCCAACTACAGGAGAGAGATGGACAGTTGAGGGAGGCGACACAACAGTTGACAAATGCTCAAGGGCAACTGCAGGAGAGATATGGAGAATTGAGTCAGATGACACAGCAGCTGACAAATGTTCAGGGCCAACTACAGGAGAGAGATGAACAGTTGAGGGAGGTGACACAACAACTGACAAATGTTCAAGGGCAACTACAGGAGAGAGATGGAGAATTGAGGCAGAGGACACAAGAGTTGACAAATGTTCAAGGGCAACTGCAGGAGAGAGATGGAGAATTGAGGGAGATGACACAACAGTGGACAAATGTTAAAGGCCAACTAGAGGAGAGAGATGGACAATTGAGGGAGGTGACACAAAAGTTGACAAATGTTCAGGGCCAACTACAGCAGAGTGATGGACAATTGAGGGAGGTGACACAACAACTGACAAATGTTCAAGGACAACTGCAGAAGAAAGATGGACAATTGAGGCAGAGGACACAACAGTTGACAAATGTTCAAGGGCAACTGCAGGAGAGATATGGAGAATTGAGGCAGATGACGCAACAGTGGACAAATGTTAAAGGCCAACTACAGGAGAGAGATGGACAATTGAGGGAGGCGACACAACAGTTGACAAATGCTCAAGGGCAACTACAGGAGAGAGATGGAGAACTGAGGCAGATGACACAACAGCTGACAAATGTTCAGGGGCAACTACAGGAGAGAGATGGACAATTGAGGCAGACGACACAACAGTTGACAAATGTTCAAGGCCAACTGCAGGAGAGAGATGGAGAACTGAGGCAGATGACACAACAGTGGACAAATGTTCAAGGCCAACTACAGGAAAAAGATGGAAAATTGAGGCGGAGGACTCAACAGTTGACAAATGTTAAAGGCCAACTAGAGGAGAGAGATGGACAATTGAGGGAGGTGACACAAAAGTTGACAAATGTTCAGGGTCAACTACAGGAGAGAGATGGACAATTGAGGAAGGCGATACAAAAACTGACAAATGTTCAAGGGCAAATACAGGAGAAAGATGGACAATTGAGGCAGAGGGCACAACAGTTGACAAATGTTCAAGGGCAACTGCAGGAGAGAGATGGAGTATTGAGGCAGATGACACAACAGTGGACAAATGTTCAAGGCCAACTACAGGAGAGAGATGGACAATTGAGGCGGAAGACCCAGCTGTTGACAAATGTTCAAGGCCACCTACAGGAGAAAGATGGAGAATTGAGGGAGATGACACAACAGCTGACAAATGTTCAGGGGCAACTACAGGAGAGAGATGGACAATTGAGGCAGAGGACACAACAGTTGACAAATGTTCAAGGCCAACTGCAGGAGAGAGATGGAGAACTGAGGCAGATGACACAACAGTGGACAAATGTTCAAGGCCAACTACAGGAAAAAGATGGAAAATTGAGGCGGAGGACTCAACAGTTGACAAATGCTGAAGGGCAACTACAGGATAGAGATGGAAAATTGAGGCGGAAGACACAAGAGTTGACAAATGTTCAAGGCCAACTGCAGGAGACCGATGGACAATTGAGGCAGTTAACACAACAGTTTACAAATGTTCAAGGGCAACTGGGAGAGTTGACGCAACAGTTGACAAATGCGCAAATTCAGCTACAAGAAAAAGATGAAGAAAATACCACCATGGGGGAACGACTGAGGGAAAAAGAACAACAAGTGAATGAACTGGAAACATCTCTTTCAAGAGCTCAACAACCGTTACGTGGGCGTCCACGCCAACAGTCACCTGACTGGGTCATTTCACGGGATCAGATTCAGCTGACAGAGAAATGCCTTGGTAAGGGAGGGTGGGGAAGTGTTGTCGAAGGCAAGTATTGTGGCTGCACTGTTGCCGTGAAACAGATTTACGAGGCGCTTCTCTCCTCCCATAACAGAGAATTGTTTGACCGCGAAATAAGCATCGCTTCAAAATGCCGCCATCCTTGTATGCTACAGTTCATTGGAGCAACAAACGATGAAGGAAGTCCTCTGCTTGTGACAGAGCTCATGGAATCGAGTTTGCGAAAACTGCTGAAGCAGCGATCTCTTTCTACAGCTGAAGTGGCTGTTATTTCTCTAGATGTGGCTCGAGCAGTAAATTACTTGCATCAAAAGAAACCACACCCCATTATCCACCGCGATATCAGCAGCGCCAATGTATTGCTATGGCGACAAGCTGACCAGTGGCGAGGCAAAGTGGCGGATTACGGTGCTGCTAATTTTATGCAGCATACCATGTCAGTTTGTCCAGGTGCTGTAATATACAGTGCTCCTGAAGCGATCACTGAAAATCAAACAGTGAAGGTATGTCGTCTGGTTCTTTAAATATGTATGTGTTATTTGTTTTAACTTGAAGCAACCCATGCGAGATACCGAGGTAAAATCCTCATGATCATTTTTGTCAATCGGATGCTCGACGGCCTCTGAGCTATATGGAGCTTGTGGCAAGCTAAGCCATGTAATAGACAGTCTAGACCAAAAGACTAAACTGAAGATTGGACTATTTTAGAAAAAGGTGTATTTTAAGAATAATGCATAAAAGATTCCTTTGTCGGTTTACAAAAATCTGAGTCCTTGGAAGGAAAAAAACCTTTGTCTTATTTGAATTACCACCTAGGAGTCGTAACTTTGAAAGTGTCATGTGTGTACAAAGAAGTCAAATAATGAATAAGTTGATGAGTATTGAAGTGAAGCTAGTGTTGTTAACCTAAATATACATATTTTAAATTATCATCGTTCATTTTTTCATCTCCAGGTCGATGTGTACAGTTTTGGTGTTCTCCTCTGTGAGATGAGCATCAGGACACCGCCAAATCCTGACAGGCGTGACGAGCAAGTCGCCATGGTAACAGATCGTATGTTTCGAGCTCTCATCCGGAGATGTTTGCGTCAAGATCCTCAAGACAGACCTAGTATGGAAGACATCATTGGTGAACTAGAAAAACTAGTTTAAATAGGCTTGATAGGATTCTTTATATATTTTTTACAGTTAACATGTTTTTACCGTAAATTAAAGAGGGAGTGAACGTTTCAAAGATGAAAGAATAGCCCCAACCTCTCCCCGCCTACCCGAGTCATGACAAAAGGGACTTGCTTGGGTAACAACAACCAAGACACATCCTGCGTTGTCAGTCTCATGCTACTACACGTTTTAAATTTGGTCAAACAAACTCCATTTTGAGTTTATTTTGCATCATTTTTTTGGAGTAATATCAGATTTGAAGGGCATGCTCATCCGTATATGTGATTTTGGTAAATACGCCCCATTTCTAGGAGACGGCTTTGGTCATGTTGTGAGCGTGTCACTCGCAAGCCGGAGGTGAAATGTTTCAATAGGCAATCTGGAGGTCCCAAAAATCCCTCTGTGACCTCCGGATGGATCAGATTACAGGTTCGCTCCAGTTTTGAAAGTGGTAGAAGCGAGGCTGAGGAGTATTGTAAATAAGGTCTGCCTCTTGCCAGTTTGCCGGTGTTTTCATTATCATGTTAGGTTTGAATTGAATCATTTGTTTCTTGTTATTTGGGTGGTTGTCTGTGAAGTAACTGGGTAGCTAAGTACGCTTTCACGATAAAATATTATAACATTTGCATTTTTCCTTTTTACTGGAATCAGTACATGTACGTTAGTGGCTGTAGGCATAGCAATAGAGAATTAGCAATGATGAAAACTATAAAAGCCTTTGGCAATCTAACGATTGAATTCCATTGAATTTTTACTGTCCGAACAAGTGAAATATTCATCAACGTTATGTTCCTATAAACTTTCGAGAATAAGCCCTCGTAAGCGACCACAAGGTGAACCAATAGAGGGTGGCAACCCATTTACTTGATGAGTGTCTTTATATCTGATATAGACACAGCTAAACTTTACGTCCAATTTTTTATTTTTTCGACCAAACTTACTCCAAGATCTTTATGAACGAACCATTAGCGCAGTGTGCAGTTTCATTTAAATCTTGATTTATACGAAGAAGACTCTACTTGGTCGCTTACAGGAGTCTAAATACAAAGGAAAACAGTCAGGAAAAGACCAGTTGGGTAATGCCAAAAGTGGTCCAGGTCGATTACGAGACCTTTCATTACAAAGTTTAAGTCACAGGTCAAGCAGGGTTTCACAAAGGTGGTTTTAACAAGAGCTGGTCTCTTACGAGAGTGGTCGCAAGGAAAGCTTTGACTGTATGATAGGGACCGGAGGATCAAAGGATCATTACAAATAACTGAAGGGCTGACAATTCCTCGTAAAAATTATTGTCTTTAAAAAAAAATGAAAAAGAATTTCCTGTAGATAAATAAGACATTAAGAAATAATAAAGCCGAACAAGATAGCAAAAAAAAAAAAATAGAAATAGAAGATTTAGAGAATAGAAGGGAAACTCAGTCTCCCATATACGTTGACGGCCGATAAAAGCGGTGCCAATAAAATGTCCAAGTAGTCCTTAGATTAGCTCTCCGTACTTTATCAAAGAGAAATCACGATCCAAGGATAATTTTGCTCTTGTAACTGTGTAGACTCAAAATAAAGAAGATATATATATATATAGTTATTTTACTATTAACCAATGACATTTCTTTTTCCTTTGGGAAATATTCATATTAAGTTCCTTTTCAGGTTTTGTTTGTACACACCAATCTCGCCAATCTTTTCCCACGTTTTAAATTTAAACTGAGAGTTATCAGCTCGCCATTTCACTTGTTGAAAAATTCAAAAATAACATACTTTAACGGCTTAGAGGTGAATTGTTGTGATCATGAAAGGCTTCCCTGAATAGTGTATTCGAGTTTTCAATTTCAGTTGAAAGTCAAGTAAGTCAATTTCTATTATAATGTCAACAATCCGTTGCCTAAACGAACCATTTACATTTAGTAAAACAATGTTAGTAATAAAAGTTTTTAAAAAGTAACCGATGGTAGAACTCTTTCTTTAAGCTTTAGATCCACACGAAGGAATCTCTATAAAATCGTTTGGAGTGGTGTGATTCATAATTTGATTGGACAAATCAACAGTAATCAAGGGCGGTTCGATAGGAAGTCCATTAAACGTCACGAACTTTCTTTTAGAGTTCGCCGTTCCCATCTTTCGCTTCTGTCTGTTCAAAGACCGTTCAAACACCTGCTCCGCGCCTTGGCCATTTTCAGGAACCAGAAGAAACTCATTTTGAGTTGGCTTTGTTTGATTCCACACTTCCTGAATTTCCCTTTCTCGTGTTGTAACTGGTACCGAACGTCCTTCGAAAGTGGCTGTCTGACACGAGGGAGCTAGATTGGTTTTGATTCCATCCACAGGGTTGATATAATGCTCCGAATTCGAGTTAAAATTGTGCAAACGAACAAACCATTTTCTATCATTTGGCCGGATTGCCATAGAGCTCGGACTGCGCATGGCTTGTGGGCCTTCACGCGTCGTATAAAGTATAGTATCGCTCAAAGAAGCTTCATTCATGTTTTGTGAAATACCCAGAGCGCTGAAAACTTCTTCTTCGATGTCTTTTTTTCGTTTTTCCCTGATACACTCGTGGCAATACTTAGAGCCCATGATTTCGCAGAACTGCCTTCCTTGGGCTGCGTCAAAAAGACAATTGTAACAGGTCACCGTGTTAGTGTAGTCGAAAAAATACCACGAAGGCGAACGGTTATATGTTTCTGCTCTGGAACGAGCGAAAACACCATTCTCTAACCTCCAATCTTTCCTGTCTTTTAAATCCCCGGTGCTAAAGGGTCTTTGTTCTCCCATGACTTCAGGATCAGTTAGCGTATGCCTGCCCTTACTCCTTTTTGCTGACGCCTTTTTTCGGCCCAAGGAAAAATTCACGTTGAAACATTGTGGTAAGGAGGATAGGAACCTCAAAGCTCCATTACCGTGGAACTTAAGTCAGACTGTCTGGTAAGTAATCCTATACAAGAACCTTGATTGCACTCACAAACGATAGCCTCTCGGGTAGTTACTATTTGCCAAAATATAAAGCCCAGCACAGACAAAACGAGACGCGACTGAAATCTACTCAAACAGTTTTCACCGTGGCGACAAGCGAACAACGTTTTCAATACTTTTTGTTTACTTTAGAAAAGTTCCTATTTATCGCGTCTTTGAATTTCATTTTCCAGTCTATTAACAGCTAAGTACCATTTAGTAAGCCCTCACATTTGAAGCCAACCCTTGCCAAAGAATAAAAAAGGAGGCTTAGTGGAACACAAAGGACAATAATCTTTCATTTGTTTTCGATATAGACATTGTAATAATAGTGTCTTGTGTGGAAGCTAACTAACGTCATTCTTTGCTTTCTTTCTTATTTTACAGAAAATAACTGAGAAAAAAAAGGTTACCGGAACGCTTTCAAAATTTACCCAGCATTTTCTCAAAAAAAACTTAAATGGATTTTGGAGCGCAGTATAAAATGAAGTTTTTAACCATGCAGTTAATTACATCTCGATCAACTAGCCTTCAACTCGCTTCAATACGTTTAATATTGTTAAGTCGATGTCTTTACCAATGGTTCAAGATATCAGCATTCGTATAAATGTTGTAATGTTGAGCATTTTACTGAGCATTTTATTGTTTTTAATTTTGTAATTAAGCGGTCTAGCCTGTGTAGCATTCGTTTGTATTAGTTTTATTCAAGAGACGATATTCTCTCTTGTTTCATTTAAGCCGAAGCTGGAAGCGTACCAGACGCGCGAGGTCATGAAATCAACAAAAATAGAGCAAAAAATTAGGAGCCCCTAGTTTTAATCCTTTTTACCCCATGGGCCTGGCGCGAGTCTCATGTGCTTTTCCCGCGACTGCTACACAGGCGTTCATCAGCCGCGGTCACGATTCATACTCAATGAACTACTCAATGAATGACAGAAGATGGGTTTCTTTCAAAACTATGATAATCTATAACTAATTCTGATTAGGCAAACCCCGTCCCAACAGGTACCAGCTTCCCCTGGCAACGGCGACCATAGAGCGTTTTCACATGAAGTCACGGTCATGGCGGCCATGTTGGTGTTCCAAATCAATTCTGTGCGAGTTGAACACTTTCTAGACTTTTTCGATTATTCTATTCTAGTCGATTTGCATACTAATTGAATGCTTGCAACGTGAGTGAAAACTCTCTATAGAGTGATTTCACATGATGTCATGGCGGCCATATTGGTGTCCCAAAACAATGAAACGGCGGCCATGTTGGTGTCCCAAACTAATCCTTTGGGAGCAGCGCAGTGCATCGTAGCGCAGTGCTGGCCCAGCAGAGCACAGCACAATATAATACTAGCATCAAGCACCCCTTCTCCGCTGATATGAATAATTTATTAGAGCAAAACTTCGCTAAAATAAAGACAGTTTTTGATAATTGTAGGTCATCTAAATAAGCATTCACTTGCGAGTTAAAACATCGTGGTTTAACAAAATCCAAAACGAGAGCAATAATGGGTGAAATGACGGAGGAAACATTTTAAATTATCAATCAGACATCAAAGATTAACAGAGCACAATAAAACTTACCTTGGATGAGCTCCATCTTGAAATTCAGCTCATTGAAAATCTCCCTCGAAACCTTCGAACGCTTTTTCAGCCACGAAGAGAAGATGGAAATTAGCCGCGAAGCATCGTGGGATATATGAAATTCCCCCCTTTATGAATGACTGCACAATTAATGTCACAAAATCTGCCTATTGTAAGCTGTCCCTTCGGGTTTTTTTGTGTTTTACGTCGTCCTAACCATCTCATACTTGCGGGCGCAAACAATAGAAACGTCATCATTACCTACCGATTCCTCGCTGCCCCTGTTCAAGCAAATCGAGATTTTTTTCTATATTGACTGTATGACTGTATATTTCAGCTGTAAGTACTTTCCTTAATATACGCGCGAGTTACTAGAGCGCCTCCTCTAGATTTCGCCTTCTGGGCGAAATCCCTACGGGGGCAATAATAATATATGTTTTTACCAAAATAGAGAGACCGTTCGTATGTCCACCCGTTTTGCCAGATCATTGCAGTGATATGTGGCAGACAGCGTTAAAAGATCTGAAAGACAAAGTGTTGGTTTGCTCCTATTATAAAAAAGGCAGCCTGTGGAGTCCTCGGGATGACTTGGGATGGTATTCCTGCTGTACATGATTTACTGTGGTGAAACAAGAACGCTTGAGTCCAGTCAGATAGTCTGGTCTTTAAATAATCGTTTTTGATAAACAACTTTTCAAGAGAACTTTTTAAGCATACACGGTCCCCTCCAGCAGGCTAAAATGAATCAGGAACTGAATCGAAAAATCAGTTCCAAAACTAGAATTTCTATGCTGATTTGTATGCTGTTTTGGATCGTTTAGTTTGTGTTGCTACCTCATTGTTATTTGCATATTAATTTTTAGAAAAAGCATGATTTCCTATTCTCAGAGAGCGAGCTGGTGTGCTAGGTATTCTCTCTTCATTTCGGAAATACTAGCCGGGGGCTAGATTATAGCGGAGCTCTCGCGCGCGAAGCGCGCCAGCGGAGCATCATGGGTAAGAAAATGAAGTAATCTACCCATCCGAGAAAATTGGGTAATCACGTGACCGTACACCGCCCGCCCGTCCAAGAGACCGTCCGTCCGCACGACAGGCATACCAATGTAAAATAACTCAATCAACAGGTATGGTAACCCAAGTGCAACTCGAGGTTGTTTTAGCAGGAAATCGCACAGCCACCGGCGTCTTGTAAAGCAGAGACAACAAAAGAGTCAATAAAGACGAAAACGGAAAGCGGAAATTGTTTCTGTATCCGTGTTGTCTAAGGTATTAAGCTTAGGTAAATTGTCATGTCCACAAATCTGGAATATAGTGCAATAGAAAGACAAAGAAAAAGAAAAAGTGGGCGGCAGGCCAGCGAAGCTCAACGAGAAAAAGGGCGACAGGGATTTAGAGCGAGAGATAAAAAACAAAGGAGACATTTTTTTGCTGGAAGAACAACAGGAAAAGTTTGTAGCGGCGGTGACAAAATGAGAAATGCTACTAGCGGCCACCAACGCAAGTGAAAATGAAAGGGAGTGAACGGGAACACGTACGACATTTCCTCCATAAAACGTGTAACTTAGACCCTGTTTACATGGAGTGGGGCACCCCGGTCTAGTGGGGTAAAATTCTTTTGTTTTGTGTCCCCCGGAGCGTGAAAACAAAAGAAACCAACCCCACTAGACCGGGGTCCCCCACTCCATGTAAACAGGCCCTAAGAAGTTTCTGAAAGTTTCACGTTGTAGTCGTGCAAAACGACGGCAAAGAAATGTACAAAAAAAGTGGGCTGCACGTGCAAAGTTGCTTTTGCTAATTAGATCCATTGTTGTTTTTCACCTTTTTCCGGCGTTGCATGCCTTCCCCGCTTAGCATTACACGATTTTATATTTTGTTTGAACAAACTATGAATATAGGTGGTTTTCATGCAATCTCGGAAGACACAAATAACAATGGTGAAATGAACTAATGCTGGTGGACAAACAAAGCGAGCTAATGAGCGATCTTTTGTTTACCGTCCACCAGCATGGCAGCGATGACGTAACGTGAAAACCACCTATTATTGAGAGCTTCGCTTTTAGCCCTGGCTAAATCTATATATTACGTCTGCGTCACGCAGGCTAGAACAAGTAAAAACCTTAAAGCGAGAGCAATAATTGCTTATTCTGTTTCAAGGAAATTTGATGGATTTCTAAAAGCCTCCTTTAAACCGGTAACTCCCAGTTGAGGTTATTTTACTGGTCCATGCACTGTCTTTTTTGATTGTTTAAAAAGGCCACCTTAAAAGAAATTGCCACTTTAGTATTGAACAAGCGTGTACTATTAAAAGCCGGTAAAGAGATGAATTTCCTTTTCGGTGTTCCATCTGGAAGCGATCAATATGGGAAACGTGAAACTAGGGAAAATCTTTACGCCATGATCATTGCCCTGAATGTCGCTACTCATCCGGGAATTTTTCATGCCCGCCGGCAGTAAAATTCAACATTCCTTTGAGAATACTGCATGTGATAACAAAGAAAATGGCCAAAGATCGACCACTGGCCCTTACGTTTTTCTGTTTTATGTGCTTATAAATTCCTCTGGCTTCTACCAGCAAATGAGTTTAATAGAGGAGGGATCACTAAATTATTTTAAACAAAAATTTGTTTGTTACAGATTCTACAAGTATTATCTAATTTGCTTTGAATTAAAATTGGCTGTTTTGGAAGCTTTGTCGTGTGGAAGCTAAATTCAGTAGGTGGAAAAATTCGACGAATTACTCGGTTAACTTCACGGCCAGCATATGGAAGTTCCATGTATCAGGCGGGCTCCTGGAAATTTTAGCAGGGTTACGACCACTACAAGTACTATCGAAACTGGGTTTTCGAAAACACTTCTCGATCCTCTTAGAGGCCGTAAGGGAGCATGGTTGACTGATTTGAAAACTTCTGCGAGTGCTAATGACACTAATATACGCAAAATTCTGCCTCCTGCGTGAGATGAAGACATTCGTTGCATGGCAACGCAAAAAAAAAAAAACAGTCTGTAGTTAAACAAGGACAGGCGCCTTGGAGCGAGCAACTCTGATACTAGTCCTATGTCACTGCGTTTTTGTGGACCGTTTTATTTTTTGATACATTTTAGAGCACTTTTTCTCGCCAAAATGAAGCTCCACTCTGTTCATGAACGCATTATAAATATATAACGTGACAAAGGAAAAATAAAAGTCATTAAAAGGTCAAAAATGCCACTGTTAGGGTTTTTGGTTTTGCTGACAGGTTTGTGGGACCTGAAAGATATTCTAACTTCTCGCCAAAATCGTTCTTCAAAAAATATACTAGTCGGTGAAAACGCAGTGGAACGAGTACATGCATGGAAGTTGCTTGTTCCGAGTTATGGACTCCTGACAAGGACGGTTACTAAACTAAGAGGCCCTGCCGGGCCGGACAGGGAGTGGGATGGGGTTACCGGGGTCGCTTACCTGGACTTTCTGTCTCTGCTTTCAGTCAAACAAAGCTAGTGTTTATTTGAACTGATATTGTTAATGTCAAGGAATTAGAAGCTTTTCTTGCTATACAGTAAAAAGAACATCGCTTACTTAAATGCATTGGAAACGATTATTGTAGCAAGTACTGGGTATAAAACAAGCTGCAGCAAGGCTATTCGAGGCTAGGGACGTAAAATTCCCGCACCTCACAGCTTTCACCTATGTTGCGTGCAAAACGTTATTCTAACTTTTCGGCACTGTAAGAGTGAAAAAGTCAACTATCAAAAGGCTTCAGATCAGTCAAGCCCTATATCTCAGAGTCCAATTCGCTGCCAGATTTAAGTGAATTGGCGCACACTATCTCACAAAGACCTTCTACGTACCCAACCTTTTCAACCAAGAAACAGATAGAACGAGGGTAAAACGGCTAAATATATCTAGATATCTGTTACCTACGTTTGGAGTACGACTGTAAAATGTTCCTTTCTAATATATTGTCAGCAATATATATTGGTAAGTTTGCCAAGTATTTCCGATAGCCTTCCAATACTCAAGGAGAATGTTATCTCTAGAATCACAATGCAGACACGTTCGCAGTCGAATACAAGAGCTGTTTTAGCTACATCACTTTATGCAACCTGTATAGTTAAGGAAGCAAATATGTCGGGCGTTCTGGGAGCGCTATTTCTCCTCCTTGCAGCAACTGCTGCTCTGAAAACCGTCTTAGACGAAAAACAAGACCAAAAAGATGCAGCCGAACCTGTGGAATTCATGAACATTCCTGCAGCTTTAGAGGAGGGCATAAGCAAAGATGACTTCGACGAACTTTATTCTCAACGTGCAGATATAAACGGTAAGAAAGCTAAAGAGATTAGAGAGTATCTGAGATGTTTTGGGTAAAAATTATCTTTATTTCTTGCCGTGCAGAAAGCTTTTCTTAAAATCAACGGAGAAGATGTATAGGATGAACTTTCTGGGGGAAAGGGAGGGACCTCCTACAATGGCCTGCACGGGAGGCTCCGCCCAGGGTATAGACATATAAAAGGGTAGATACTTCAAGGGTAAGGGGTTACATTAGGGACGGAGCCTCCCTGTCAAAATTTTTTTTATTTTCTTTCTCCCCCCCGGGATGCGCATTTGTATGTTATTCCGCTGGTTATTCCATGGTGGCAGACACATGACCAATACCCTCGTGGGAGCGTATTCAATGCTCATTGCCCTCTTGTGCAGGTGGTAAAGACAAAGATGAAGACGATGAAGATACTCAGGATTAAAATATATGTGACAGCGGACAAGCGTCAGCCAAGGACCTTTTCTAGTCCATGCATCAATCAAGAACACTGAACAGGGGGGGCCCAAGGTCTTAAACTCGTTTTGCCTTGAGGGTGGCAAAATATAGGCTATTATTTCAAACTACGTTGCTGGCTTCCGGACTGGATTGCAGTCTTAGAATTTTATTTTGGCGAGGTTTTAATTTTCATTCCTCGAGATGAGAGGTGAAAGATTTAAAACTGGTTTAATATGACATACATGAGAGCAGAAAACTTTTTTAAACTTTATTTACGTGTCAGGATATTAAGCTTACAAGCTTACAGGTTCTTTTCTATTTGACTCATTTGCAGATGCTGCAAGCGTGGAGAACGAGATGAACGAAGCCTTTAAAGAAAACAGTAAAGATATCGAATTTGACGAGAGGGGCGAAACTTCTAACGAAGACAAATTAGGAGACATAGAAGGCGAAACTGAAGACGCTTCAAACGAAGAAAGTAAAATTGACATAGCCCAGGGCATAGAAAAGACTTCTTTTGAAGACAGTGAAGTTATGGCAAACGAGATGGACGGAAAGTTTGACGAAGATGGCAGATACATCATAAATGATAGAAGGGACGAAAGTTTTAACGAAGACAACGATGGTAGGGCAGAGTATAAGATGGACGAACGTTCTGAAGAAGATTCGATACCTGAAGAATATATCGAATATATCACAATTAATGATGGCATGGAAGAAACTATTAACGAACATAAACATGGCGCCATAGACGAAGATCTCGAAGATGGGTACGCGCAAGGTAATGTAGTTTTTTAACCTCATGAAAGAGAATATGAAAATAGTTTTAGCTACACCTCGTTGCTTCTACAAAACTAAAAGTTTCACAAGAACTGAAAAATTTAGATCGAAGCGGTTTTGAGACTGACATGTAACTAAATTGCAATTCAACAATTTCTAAAGGGGTCACAAAACTCGTTTCTAAGTTATAAGTAACATAAGATAAATAAGTTAAATTAAGGGTGCTTTGACAGACTATACAGTGGCTATGGTAAATGTTACACAACAAAAGTTATTGGACGTATTTTGGTGTCATCCGACCATAATTATCCTTTTTATATCAGTAATATCATGCACTCGTCCTGACAATTTTACACATTGTTTTAACTTTGATTAGAATTTACCGTGGAGGAAGAAGAAAATTTCCCTTATACGTTTGAAAATCAAAAAGACACAGTGCGCCATTGTGGTTTTGGGATCTACTACAACTCTTCTCACCAAGGGTGTTGTGGTAACAAGCATCGATACAACTTACGAACTCAGCAATGTTGCAATGGAACCGTGGTTAGCCTTTTCTACCTAAAGTGCTGCAATGACGGGAGCGTTGCCTCGAGGAATTCTTCATGTAGCCTGCCAACCAAGTGCGGGATTGTAAGATACAACATCTCATATCAAGGGTGCTGTACTGGGACATCTCGCAATTACGTGTATGAACTAAGCACCCAAAAGTGTTGTTATGGTCGTGTCTACCCTAATAGTATTCCATGTCTACCAATATGTGGTTACGGGTTCTATAACGCATCGCATCAGGGGTGTTGTGATCGCAGATATGTGTATTACCTGAGTAACGAGAAGTGCTGTTATGGTCTTGTAATTCCCAAAAACGAGTCCTGTGTGCATTCCTATAACTGTGGTAATATCAGGAACTACGATCCAACGATCTACGGATGTTGCGGTGGCGACTACTTGTACTTTTTGAAGTATAGGAAATGCTGTTATGGTCATGTCATTTCCAAAAACGACTCTTGTCTACCCTCCCGCGGATGTGGTTACTCAAGTTACAACCCCGCGACCCATGGTTGCTGCCAAGGAAAATTGACGTACTCTTTGAAATATCAGAAGTGCTGTTATAGCCGTGTTATTTCCAAGAACGCTCCTTGTATCCCAAGGTGCGGTCACAAGAACTACAATGCATCTTTCCAAGGGTGTTGCGCTGGCAAATACATCTACTACCTGAATACTCATAAGTGCTGTTATGGTCTTGTGATTGCTCAAAACGATTCCTGTGTGCCTTTCCCTAAATGTGGCTACTTAAGCTACAACCCAGCGACGCATGGATGCTGCAATGGAAGATATCGGTTCTCCTTAAAGTATTATCAGTGCTGCTATGGTCGTCTCATTCCAAACAATGCCTATTGTGTACCGTACCGCAAATGCGGTTTCGTAAGCTACAACCCAACCATCTACAGATGTTGCGGAGGCCAATACCTGTACTTTCTGAGGTACAGCAGGTGTTGTTATGGTCATGTTATTCCCAGACGCCACTCTTGTGTACCTTTCCGCAAATGCGGTGATTCAAGTTACAACCCCAAAACCCATGGGTGTTGCAAAGATCGTTCCGTGTACTCTTTGAAATATCAAAAGTGTTGTTATGGTCGTGTAATCCCAAAATCCTACGCATGCACGAGTTACATGTGTGGACTGTACCCCTACAACCCACGAACAGAAGGTTGCTGTAGTGGCAGGAGAAGATACAAAAAAAGGATCAAGAGGTGCTGTGATGGTCGCGTGATCTCCAAGAAATCCACATGCCTACCCAAATGTGGTAAAGTCAGCTATGATCCACGAATACAAGGTTGCTGTAATGGCAAGTACAAGTACAGCAAAACGTTCCAGAAGTGCTGTAATGGTCGTGTGATCTTCAGGATATCCACATGCTTAGCCAAATGTGGTAAAGTCACCTACGATCCACGAAAACAAGGTTGCTGTAATGGCAAGTACAAGTACAGCAAAAGGTTTAAGAAGTGTTGCTACGGTCGTGTGATCTTCAGGATATCCACATGCTTACCCAAATGTGGTAAAGTCACCTACGATCCACGAAAACAAGGTTGCTGTAATGGCAAGTACAAGTACAGCAAAAGGTTTAAGAAGTGTTGTTACGGTCGTGTAATCTCCAAGAAATCCACTTGCCTATTATACCCAAATGTGGCAAAGTCTCCTACAATCCACGAATACAAGGTTGCTGTAATGGCAAGCAAAGATACAACAAAAGGTTTATAAAGTGCTGTCATGGTCGCGTAATTTCCAAGAAATCCACTTGCTTATCAAAATGTGGCACGGTGACCTACAATGCACAAACACAATGTTGCTGCGGTGGCAATTTCAGGTTCAACAGAGGTTTGTGACTGACAGAACACGCTCTTGCTTGAACCGTGGATACAATTTCGCCATGCTTTTCTCATATTTCAATTAGCTTAAGTTTCATAGTGGTTTTATAAGAACCGTTTGAAATACGACTTATATCACGTGACACTAAGTTGCATGCAAATTACCAAAGAACCTTTTCACAACAGACATTTCCAACAAAGCGAATGATGCTCACTGTACTGAGTTACTCGCCTTACTTGTACCTTTCATGCTTGTTATCCCTTATCTCTGTAACCCTTAAAACAGATACATGTATTCATTATCCCTAGAAATTCCAATTAAGGCAGGGAACGCGCAGGGAGAGGTGCTGAGGGCGGAAATTGCCCTCCCCTCGCCCTTTTTGGGCGAAATAAAAACATCTTTGCCAAAAATTTAAAGTTACATTTATGGTAGAGAATAAAGAGACTATATAATGTAGCTGAAAAGATGCAATAATTACTGTGCTTGTTACGGCAGAGGCCAGAGGTGAGTTCATAAAGACTCTTTGCGCGGGAGCTAAGAAAGAAAGAACCAAGACGATAAGTGCAGGTATTAAACGAGCGTACGGGAATCGCTACATAAAGATTACAAAATGGCAACAAAATTGCTAAAAAACTTGCGCCTAAGATCGCAGCTACATGAGTCGCTAAAAATTTTCTTAAAAATCTTAAAGCACCAAAAGTGGCGCGGAATTGTTGCTCTTCACAGAGCCACTAACCTTGGCCCGCCGAGCGGAGATTAGTTTTTCTGGATATGAATTGACTTTGTTTGCAGGGCATTTGACTAACAGACTTCTCGTTGGAAATGGCTCTGTTCTGTTCTTAGTGCACAGGAAGTTTTAAATCATTTTCTTTTCTTTTTGTTAGTTCTTTATCAGTTTCCCTTGTTCCCGTTTTACCTTGTTTCCTTGTTCCCCTGTTCTACATTTTCCCTCGTTCTCTTGTTCCCTTCTTTCCCTGTCCAAGTTTGTATTGCAGCAAATACACGTAAAATAAAGTTAGGCGCACATTGTTTACGAAATTTCGCGTTAATTTGATGTATGTAAACCTAATTTGGGGAAATTCGCGTTAAGTTTGTGTGACGTAAATTTTCTTCGCGTTGTCAAGTGCATCGTTAATTTCCTACAATAAGGTAATTCAGTTATAGAAAGTCAGTTTTAGCTAATCATTTTCAGACAAGAAGCTTCACACCTCTGCGAAATCGACAACAAGCCAGAATTTTCGAAACGAAAAGTATTTTTAGTACTTTCCTTTTTGTTATTATGAAAAGTCTGTGTATGAGTATGTATATACCTTGTTATTTTTATGTTGTTCTCCTTGTTTTGTAATGGCCAGATGACTCATGACAACAGTGAAAACTGGCGAAGGAAAACAATTTTGACAAAGTAATTACGGTAACTCGAAGGTTTCATGCTAACCAGGCTGTTTGAACTAATCAGAGAAGACTTATCTCAGCATTAGTTTGCACTAAGCAGCTTGTTTTCTGGCTGATATAAAACTGGGTGAAGCACTGAATTAGCAGAGAATTGTATCAACGCAATATAATAAAAAGGAGGTTTCACTCCCAACAAATGAAGTTCATTGAGTAAGTCAAGCAAGCAGTGTCTTTGTTGACAGCCAAGCTAGTCCCCGTCAAAAAGTCCTTCTAATGAGGCAAAACTTTATTTAATCTTGCTCGAATCTCCTGGCAATAAACTGCCATTCTACTACAAAACAACATTAACTTCTAAAATGCTCCTTTTATTATCGATGTTCAAGGTTAAGATAACCTTCCTGAACTATTACCCTCCAAATCGAGTTCGAATTTAATATAAAAAAGAGTTATTTCAATGAAGGCTATATAAACTGCAAAATTAACTATGGATTGGCATTCATTCTTTTTAATTATAACAAAACTAAATTCACTCTACAATAAGAGAAAGGATTCAAACAAAGTACAGAGTGGTAACATATTCAAGCGCTTTTCGAATTCCGTGGGGTTATCCAGGGATCCCCAAAAATTATATCGCGTGTAATGGTTAAAACAAACTCCTTCGTTTGTTTGAACTTACAGATCGATTAAATCTTTTAATGTGACTATAACTGACTATTTCAAATGTTTGTTAGTTTGTCCAGTTTTTTTAAGTCGACAAAACAACATTTGACCCTTAAAGCTGATATAGCCGAGCAGTAACAAATTCCCCCTTATGAGATCTCTGCCCATATCACTCATATAGGTAACGATAAGGAACGATTTGATCTCCAAGGATGAAATCACTATCTCGATTGCCAAACAGTTTCTCCTTATTATACCAAAAGAAAATTTAATGTATGGGCATCATTTTGGAGAAAAAGCAGTATTAGGGCTTTAAATGTCAACTTTAAGTTCGCTGGTTTTCTTTGAGCATTCCTTTAACTCAAATGAATGACAAATAGCTTCGACCCTTCGTAGTAATTTTAAATCATCTGCTTAACAGAGGGGGCTCTGACTAAAGTGAACGCAATGGAGAAGAAATCATTATGGAATTTTGTCGCTTTGCAGTTACGGTGAATTTATTCTTCTATACATGAGACGTACTATACTACTCTTTGTAAAATTGGAAAATTAATTACATTTAAATCAAACATCTA